GGATAGTATTTCTGATGAAAAAGGATGATTGTAATGTTTAGTATATATGGTATCTATGGTGACATATTGATCACTTGACAGATCAATGTATGTATAAGGAAAGAGCCTCAGACACCACCATGATTAAGGCAAAAACATTTGGTGAACAAAGCATGTTGTCAGAGTTAACACTGAACACTTCTGTACCTTGCCTTTGCTCCTGTTGCGGTTGTGTTTACAGCGTTGTTTGCGTGTGTTGTATTTGGCCAGTTGATACTCGCTGAACTGCTTGAACTTGTCAGCCATTGCCTTCTTCAGGCACATGGGCAGGGAGTGGCTGAAGCACTGGAAACAGATATAGTCACAGTGTTTATAAGGAACTGAGAAACATGGAGAACTCCGACGTGCGGTAGACGCTCACAGAGACTTACTGTGCTGTAGATTCTGACTACTTCCAGCCAGTCGGAGGGCAGCTGGACAGCAGCACAGAAGTATCTGCGGACATGAGGCTTGGTGCAGGGCTGATTGGCAGCCACAGCCAGTAAGAAGTTTGCTGTGATGCGGATGTTCAACTCCTGTCGGGTGTAAACTGCCAACTGGATGGGAGAGGAAGAACAGACACACTGTACATGACTGGAGTAAATGATTAGAACCCCTTCATCCTTCACTGTTGCGCTCCGTGTTCGCCTGTTTTACTTATTTTCATGCACCAACAAAACTGTTTTTGTCTGAATACTTGATTGAAAAATGAAAATGATGCTAATGTAGTAATTAGCAGTGTTGAAAAACATACAAGGAGATAGTGACAAAGGTTTCACTTGCAGCAAGCAAAAAACAAAAAAAACAAAACTCCAGTACAAAAAGAAATTGAAGTAAGTTGATCCTCCAGGAAAACAGCATGATATTTATTATTCATGAAATTTATTCAATGGAAAATTTGAGAGTAAATGTGGAATAACTGGAAAAAAAAATAATAATAAAAATAAATATATATATACATATGTGTGTGTGTGTGTGTGTGTGTGTCTTGAAGACTTTTCTGGGTTGTTTTTAGTTAAAATTAGAATTCAATTCAATCCAGACCACCCACCCACACAGACATATAAGCTGCACACACCTTGAGAAGAAACTGTGGGTCATGGACAGAAATGTCTTTTGCCAGGTTTATGATCCTGGTCCAAACACTGTTCTCTGAGTCCCACTCCTTCTGGCCTGGAGCTGTGCTCTTATTGACCAGAGAGCAACACACCACATTCAGCAGGAGATACTGAGGAGCAGACAGAAAGACAGAAACGTGTGTGTTCACAACTGAGAGGGGGAGTTATAGTCACTTCCATCAACACATAAACACAGGAATATAATTTGGCAGCAGTGGTAAAGAGTAATGCTAAACTTGCAAAAAAAGAGAATATTTCTATGACATACTGTACATACATTGTGTAAAATAGTTTTTTCTACCTTTTTATCCTTCAGTTCCTCCTCAATTGTTTCATTTCCTCCATGAAACTCTGCAAATTCCTCCTGTCCGATGACCATAGTCTGTTCCAGTTCCTGGTTGACCAGAACAGGTAATTCCATGGTTGAGCCAGCATTAACCTCCATCTCCTCCCCTTCATCAGACAGAGCATCATCTTCCTCAGAGTGCTGCTGATGCAGAAGTCACATTAAAACAGTAATACTGGCAAATGGGATGCATAAAAAATGATGTTTGTCCAATATTTTAAAGAATGTGTTTGCAGCTAAGTTAAGACAACAAAACAGTAAAAAACAAAACAAAACAAAACAAAAACATGAAGAGTTCATGTACCACACTTGTTTCTTCAGCACAGGACTCCATCACAGATATTTCCTCTCTGCCTTCATCTCCTGCAACATCCGTCTGCTGTTCTCCACCCTGACCATTATGCAGGAAGGAAGGAGGATGGGCAAAGCGATTGAGCAGAGCAGTGCTGGCCATGGATGTGGAAAATAGAGAGTCATCAGGGACAGAGGAAGTTAAGGAAAAGGAGAGGCGAGGTGAATCACTAGTTAGGAGCTTGTTCTGGGTGCTGAGGAGGGGAGAGGTGAGGGAAGACGCGAAGGAATAGGTGGAGAGAAGGAAGGATGATGTGGAAGACAGGCTGGAGGGTTGGAGAGAGGAGCAGGAGGAAGGTTGTGCTGCAAAGTTTATGAGCGGAGAAGAGCGCTGGGGCATCACCATGGAGGTCTGAGTTAAGAACTTATTCTCCAGACTCGGAGGAGCATAGTTGGAAGACAAACTTCTCCCACATGTGGCCTGCTGCTGCTCTCCTTGAGCCATATTTGCCTGCTGCAAAGTCAGGGCCCTCATCTCTGTGGAGAAACACATCAATTGGAAGGTAAAAGGTCTCCTCTCAGTCACAAACCTTCACAATGCAAAACAGCATGAAGTATTGAGATAAGGAGTTCAGCAGCATTCCCTCAACTGTTTGACCAAGCATTGTACTACTGTCGTTCAGGGTGTGTTGCCCTGTTGAAAGCATCCATAAAAAGTGTTCAAAGTCTGGAAATAGCACAAAGCCCAAAAGACTTCACAGAGTTTCACTAAACACCAGGAGAACCATAATGAATGGAGAATATGCAAACATTTGTAAATAATACTGTAAAAATGAGAAATTCTCCATTAAGCTGTATAAATCAGTTTAAGTGCTGACCAAATGCAAAGATTCAAATAAGAAGAAAGGGCCTGCTGCACAACATAAACTCATCTCTACACCAAATTAAAACTCTTTCACTGACAGAAAATGTTTAAATAACTACTAGAAATGTAATAATTACTCGTTTTTGACAATCAATTAATCATGAGTGCACTTTTTCAAGCAAAAACACCTAACGTGGCTCTTTTTTTCGTAATATTTTGTAACATTTTGAAGGCAACATGCTTAATCGACTAATTCCCCAAGTAACTGGAATATGATGATAATAATTGTGAGTTGTAGCCTTAATAAAAAGTAAGTAAGTTATTTTTTTAAGTTGGCCGAGTACTGGGTTTTCTTGTGCACAAATGTAAACAACCAGACAGTGTGAAGTAAAGTCAGACATTTAACTATCAGAAATAAAGTCACATCCATAGTGTCGAGACAGAAAGGGGGTTGTAACTGCCATACATGACATGGACTCAGACATCGGTCAACATTTAACATTAGTCACGGTGTTTCGCAGTAACCTCCTGCTCTTTGACTCAAGGCTTTCCGTGGGTGTGGTGGTGGTTAGCTATGAGCCACGTAGATTAGACGCAGAAAACTCACCGTAAAACCCACAAAGTTAACTCCGCAGGCAGAGCGCTGAATCTGAACAAATGTGTCTAACATGTACAATGTCGTCGTTTAATACACGGCAGCGTTGGCATCTCTTTCTGAAGCTAACTGCGCCCTCGCACTCTCAGTGCATTTCCTCATGCAGCAGCAGCAGTAGCGCCTCGGCCCGTCCACTGCAGAGCTCTTATTGGTCAGTATTTTGTGTACTTTTTTACCGTAATTGCACACATATAGGCACCAACCCTCAAAATAATCGAACAATAAAGGATAAGGCTGACATTATTCTTTATTTCACTTACTGCTAATACATCATATATCAAAATGAACAATCTATTTGTCCACTCTGTGAGTGGCACTCCGCTCAGCACCAAGTTCATGGTCCCTGCCAAAGATGTAACTTCTTAAAAAGGGTCAAAAATATATTTGCGTTTTAAAAAAAAAAAAAAAAAAAAAAAAAGACTAAATATTTACTAAACAGCTGGATACTGTAGTTTTTAGCCAACGTTATTCAATCAGGAGTAAGCAGTGTAATTCTTCGGGACTATTTTCATTTCTGGACAGTTCAGAAACACCTGTTCGCCTGGTTAGTCATGCAGTTATGCAATTATCCAATCGGTCAGTCACATGGCAGCAGTGCAGTGCATAAAATCAGGAAAGGGACTGCAGGTAATGATCACATCAAACATCAGAAAGATGAAAAAGATGTGACTCAGTGACTTTGACCTTCACGTGATTGTTGGTGTCAGAAGGCCTTGTTTGAATATTTCTGAAACTGCTGCTCTCCTGGGATTCTCTTTATAGTATAGTCATGCATCCATGAGTAGCAGTTCTGTGGATTGAAACATCTTTTTGATGAGGGAGGTCAGAGAAGAATGGTCAGATTTGTTGGAGCTGACAGGCTACAGAAACTCAACTCAAACTCAAACCACTCATTACAACTGTGGTGAACAGAAAGGTATCTCAGAATGAACAACACCTCAAACCTTGAGGTGGATGAGCTACAAAAGCAGGAGACCATGTCAGGTTTCACTCCTGTCAACCAAGAACAGAAATCTGAGGCTGCAGTGGACACAGGCTCACCAGGCTCACCAAGACTGGAAGGGCATAGCCTGGTCTGATTAATCTAGATTTCTGCTGAGGCACGCAGATGGTAGGGTCAGATTTTTGCATAAACAGCGTCAATCCATGGACCCAACCTGCCTTGTCTCAAAACTCCAGGCTGCTGGTGATGGTGTAATGGTGTGAGGATGTTTTCTTGGCACATCATGCCACATCCTCCCTGAGTGTTGTTGTTGACCATGTACATCCCTTTACGGCCACAATTTACCATCCTCTAATGGCTACCTCCAGCATGATAATGCACCATGTCACTAATAAATAAACTAATAAACCACTAATAAATAAATTAGTAAATTAAATAAAAGGCACTTGGATGAAGCAGATAAACAGTAACAGTGACAAGTGACAGTAACAAGTGCAGTATACAAGGTATTGCACAATGAATGTGTTCCTAATAAAACACTCAGTGAGTAATAAGAATAAAATAGAGAGAAAGAAGAAAAAAATCTTCGTGCTGAATAAAATTAACATAATTGTACAACTGACCATCTTGGTTAAAAAAGTCCTGTAACCAATAAAATATTATCACTAAGCCACTGGTGACAGTGTTGGTGACGTTACCGTAACTGTTCATGTTCGGCTCAAAGGAGGAAACGAAAATGCTGTATTTCCGCTGCAGCAACGACAACGGGCACGTCAAAAAAGAAAATGTGGACTGTAAGGACAAACTGAGGCCGGAGAAGGACCGTCGAACTAAATAAATCGTCTTCGTAGAGCTCTGTTGCCAGGCAGTAGTTGTTATTTAAAGTTCACAACCGAATATTTGACAGTTTAAGGGTCGTTTCTAGGTTAACTCGTAGTCTTGCTCGGTGGTGGTTCGCTTTGAGGAAGCAGCAGCTCGGCTAGCCAGCTGAATTAGCTAGCCTACCAGAGATGGGGACGAGAGCCAGTCGCCTACAGGAAGACCCGGTTCCCTCTGCTTTCGGAAAAGATGGCACAAAGCGGGATTCCTACCGGCGACCCCGCCTCACCAGACCCACTAGTCTCATGGTGGACTTCTCTGGGAGCTTCGAGGACACGGAGGCCAACCGGAGTCGTTCAGAGGAGGGCAGCGATTCGGACCTAGGGCAGCATGGGGCGAGCGCCGACGGTAGCCCCGCTGACCACCACGGCATCCCCTCTAGCATTAGCCAACCGTCACCTGCGGACGACAACAACAGCGAAGGAAAACCCGAGGAAGACGGGAACACAAGCCCGGAGGCTCCCGTTGACGCGGAACATCAGCCCGGAGAGGAGACAGGCCGCACGCCCCACCGCACTTTTTCCGAGCGGCTGCCCGGGAATCGGCACTCTTCCGCCCGCAGTGTTGGCGCAAGATCCGCCCGGGTCCGGGGCACACACCAGCGGCCGGTGTCAGAGGCTTGGATCGGCCTGTACCGTGTTAACAACCGCCATGGCAGTAAGTTAACATATCAACGCAGTGCAGTAGTACTTTCTGTACACCAAATTGTGATTATTTGTGCCGCATAAATAACACTTGCCATATTAATTGGCTGGTTTCCATCAGTAGTTGATGAGTTGTGGTTTGCTTTACGTGTCAAGACAGCTCACTTACAGGGACATGACGGGTTCACTAGCAGTTTCATGGAATTCACAGATGTGTTAGAGCCTGGAAATATGAGTAATATGGAATTGCTCAATTTCATCAGCACCAAAATGTTACGAAATTTGGGGTATGACTGTTGATTCTTTTTTTAAGACAGCTGGTATTTAACTGAATACAGGAGTGAGTGACTTGTTTTTAGAGAAAATTACCTTAATATAAATCTCATGTCCAAGTAGGGGGTAAGAGTATACATCGTCGACCCTAAAACAATTACATAAAGTCTCCAGAACAGCTTTTAAGGCAAAGAAAATATACTTGAACTGTTGTAAACACAAAAACATTTGGTCTCATATCAGACAATGAATTCAAAATATCTCCCAGTGCAACCCTCAATCTATCCAGTCTGAAATTAAAATGGATTATTTGAGGAATTTACATTCCTTAGCAGATGATCTCTTTTCCCGTGCTTACATGCTGACTAAAATCATCAGAGACCCTATTGTATGAAGCAGAGCTATGGCGTAAAACCTGAAGTGGTGACATACAACCTCTTTCATGTCTGAAAGCCTATTGACAGTGGATGTCGGGAAGTGAAAGCCCGTACTCGGTCCGCATTAGATAATCAAATACACAGAGACGTGACATTTTGAGCCAGAACACAACAGTGTGGTGGGTTTCCCAGGCAGAGCCCTCTAGCAAGTGTAGGGAAATGGGTCACAACTTCACATGCTCGCTCACTGCTGGCAGCAGCTCAGAGATGGAGGAGAATGTAGGGCAGCAAGGCACTGTTTCTGCCTGTCTGTCCCAACCACAGATGGCTCAGGCCAGAATGACTGTTTTGCATGGTGCATACAGTCAAATAAAGCTTCAAACTATTCTGGGTCACTAACACTTGTGGTAACATCATTCACACCGCAAGAGTACAGCTTTTACACCACGTTTCAGCCTGTGTAACCTAGATGTCCACACACAGCACTTGTGTTCGATGTGATGTGCACACCATCCATCATTTATATCTTGCTCTGACACAACACATTATACTCAGCTCTGCCGTGTCGCTGCTTTGTGCAGATATCCGCTGCCCTTTCTGCTCGAAGCCTTTCCCGGGGGGTCGGATTGAGGATCACCTGTTGAGCTGCCTCACGTCTCCTCCTCTACCTTACAATAGTAAGTGTCATATCGCAGAAATGCACCAACAACTGTGTCTTTAAAAGGCTGGAAACACTAAAGTTGTTTTGTTTGTGTTCACAGCGGATGTGCTTAGTAAAGACAGCGGAGAGTGCTCCATCTGTTTGGAGGATCTGGTACAGGGGGAGACCATTGCCAGGCTGGCTTGCCTCTGCGTCTACCATAAGAGGTAACAAAGCTCATACTGTATTTGCATTACCATAAAACAGACAATTAAAACTGAAAAGAGGAGAGTGAAAAATACAAATGAGTGCAGGTAAGATTAAAAACAGGCACTCTGCATAGGGTGGGGAAATGTTTCTTGGTATTTCCAGATCTGAAAAAAGCGTGGTAACTGGAATAAGGTTTTAGAAAATAAGGAAGCAAAAGTTGTTTTGCACTAGTTCACATATCAGAAAAGAGACCTGTTGTCCTTTACATGTTCTCAAAAGTTATCTTGACAGCCACTACTGTCATCAACAATCACTATTTTCAACATGAGATAAAACAGATAAGTGCAGTATAAGAGGAAAGTTCTGTTCACTTTAGGTAGCAAAGAAAAAGACTAACAGTTTGTTTGTCTTTCTGTCCTTGTACCAGCTTATTTTACAAGTAAAGGTTGTGAACATTTACCAATTGAGCTTTTGTAACTGTGAAAACAGCTGCATGTTTGTTACATTTTAGTTAGGTATAGTCACAAAGAGTTTTGAAACTTCAGCTAGGAAAAAGAAATGACCGTGAAGTTGTTAAAGTCCCACCAGTGTTTATGCACGTTTCAGCCCATTTACTACATATCACGTGTAAGTCATTCTCATTTTCAAAGCATGCTGTAATGTTCAACACTTTTCCCAGCTTTCAAGCAGCTACTGTTTTCCTGTAATTATGGTACAGTGTCACGACAGACCTGCTGAGGTCTGAAATTTACCAAGATTACCTAATTTGTCAAAGTTATGTTATCATTGTGTGTCCAAGCAGTTGTAAGTGCAGACTGATTTGAGGAACATTACCCCGACAACAATTTAAAAAAAAAAAAAACATATGATGTTTAACTAAGATGGATGACCAGCAGAGAGAAAGTCAAAACTTAGGATACAAATTAAGTTGCCACATGAAGTTCATTTCAGATAAAACAACCACACAACATGTCATTTGTTTTGGCCCCAGGGGTGCAGGCTGCCAGTTTTGTACCACAGTTTGTGTCTGTTTGACTGTAACTGACATTCGGAGCCACAAAGTAGAGCAACAAAGATTTGGAAAAAAAACCCTTGAATTTCAAAGACAAAACAGTGACAGAGTTGAAAATAATTACACACTAAATCGTCACACACTTGACACAACAAACATTTTTTTAACACTGACGTTCATATTTTAATGTAGGGCTACAACAAACATGTATTCCCATTATTTATAATCCAATTATTCATTCATTTGGTCAAAGTGAGAAATGTGTATCACAATTTCCAGAAACTGACTGTGACCTCTTCAAATTACATTAAGGCAACTCAAAATAAAGACTGGCCCTGGTCCACCCTGGTTCCTTTGCATTTAACAGGCCAGTGAGCCTTTAAACTCATTCACAACATACTTCAGTGATTACATTTAGTCTTGTCTCACATTGTCAGTAAGTGCATTAAGCTTGGTGGGAGAGACCACGGTCAAAAACCCACTACAGAGGTTTTGCCCTATAAACATGAGTTAATCAAAAATGTAATGTCTTGGTGTCCCCACCCCTATCTCTGCTCGTTCTCCCTGTAGCTGCATTGATTCCTGGTCCAAGGTGAAGCCCTGCTGCCCTGAACATCCCTTCGATTGACTCATGGGTCACAAGTTTTCCACACAGTGACCAACCCGACTCAGGTATGTGTGTGTCAGACTTACTGAATGACCAGGATACGCACAACAATGCTGTTGTAGTAGTAGTTGTGTCATCGGAGTAGATTATGGCTAATAATGCCCTGATTTTCCACAACAAACACGGGAGAGTAATTAATCAAACAACAAGCACAATTGTGATTCATTTGATCAATGTGGGATTGGCAAGCTACAGCATAATTTAAGAAAATGGACATGATCAGTATCCAGAATTAGCTAATCACCAACTGGTGGGTCATCATTTTAATCATCTGGGCATTCTTGGACATTTTACAGTATTAGTACTACTATGATATTTGCATTTTTAGTTACTTTAGTTTCGATACTAAATGCTCCGTCTCTTTAGATTAGCTACTTTGAGAAAACAGGGTGTGGAATGTAAAATGTCTGAACACAAGAACCAGTACACAACCTTTGTCCAAATAAAATGATACAAAATTGGCCCAATTTTGATTGAAATTGTGAACGGTGACAAGAGCACAAATTTATTTTTTATTTAAGTATTGAGGCTCAAAACCTAGCCCAGTTTATTATACATCCAATGTAAACATCTGTATCCATAGCAACAGGTATTACCAAATTAAATGTTCCCCCACTGCCAGACTTGAATATGTTGGGGAGGGGGGTCTGCAGTCTCTCGGTTATTATGCATCTTGACCTAATTAAACTAGCCTAACTGTTACAGCAGGTGTGATCACTCAGTCATGATTTGACCAAAACACATTTACATGTGTTATTGTGTTAATTGTACATTTGGAGAGTGTTGCACATACATTCACATAGATATTCACCTGGTTATCCATGTGAGCATTGCTGCATATTAATCTATGTAAACCTGTTTTGGGCTATACTGGAATTGTATTGTGATTATTTTGAATTATCTTCTCACAAATGATCCGCTACCCATTTTATTTGATGTGATTTTTGCCTGTATTTGCCATATCATGATTTAATTTAGTATAAAATATTATTATTCATGTGATTATTATAGATTGCTATTTGCCAATTCGTGTTGCAGACTCTATTTAAATACATTTATTACAATACACAGTTCTTTTTCTAATGGTTACTCTTGTCTTTTTCCATCTTTACAGGAGACTACACTGAATCCTAACAAAATCCCAATAAAGATGTGTTATTGAACAAATAAAAGCCCCCCCGTCCCTGTCAGACGCAAACCTATATTTGAGTGGAAAGCAGACGATCCTAAGAAGAAGCTGCAGTTAGTGACACCCACTGCCTCTCCATTTGGATCAGTCCATTTGAACTTAGTCTTGACCATTTCAAGCCAAACTCCCAACAACAAAAAAAATAAACCAGCTGCTCTGTCTAATCTTCGGTCGAGACCCTCGTTGGAACAGAAGTGGATTTCACTTTCTATCTCACGGACTTGGCTTTAATCCACGGAACATTTAAAAAAAAAAAAAAAAAAAGTCAAACAAATATTATCATCCCAGAACGATGGAACTCGCCCCAGAAAGATCTTGAACTTGGGGAGGAATGCAAAAAAAAAAAAGGAAAAAAAAAAAGGTCTCAACTGTGACTCTGGATCCTCTCCTGTGTATTTTTCTCCCTCCGAACGGGATCGGTCATTTTATCAAGTATTTTGCAAAAACAGTATTGTTCCATGTTATACATCGGATGAATGTTTTCTTTCCTCGGCTCACCCCAAATGAACCGACCTCACACTGAAAGCGTGAACTGTTACCACATAAACATTGCTTTATTTTGAACTAGCTGGAGGTTGAGGGCTTGTTGTTGGTGAATGGGGGCTGCCGTTACTTGGTGTTTTCTGTTTTCTATTACCTGTAAACATTTCAGGGGAGGTTTGGGGGATAATTGTTTTTCTCAGTAGGTCAGTTTCTTGTTGGTGGTTAGTTAGCGCTGAGTTTAATGTGCTGCTACTTGGTGGGTGTTTTGGAAGGTTGTAGGTATTTCATAGGGCCATAGTAACGCTGGTGTTGGCACCAATTTTGAGCACTTTTGTCCCTCAAGGTTTTTTTTTTTTTTGTTTGTTTTTTTTTTTAACCCCACATAAGATCTTGGATAAGGTTGTGTGTGTGCAAGTGTGTATGTATATGTCTTCAGATGATGACCAGGGACAGGAAATGTCCTGAGAATGAGGTGTGTGTGTGTGTGTGTGTGTGTGTGTGTGTGTACTGTAAATTGCCCAGAAGTCTGCTTGGTTAAGCGGGTTAACCTTTTTAGTTTTTCATGCTAGTTTTTAACTACAGTCACGCTGGCAAACATCATGTTAAATGTGGCATTGGTACGAAACATGGCGACCGTTCGACTTTGAATGCGGTTCAGGGGTTTTGTCCTCCTCCTCCCTCCTCATTCTCACATACTCTCTGGGGTGTAGTCCGGATTTTTGGACCAGACCCCAAGTGACAGTTTTCGCCATCTGGTTACATTAATGCCAGATCGGTGAGGGATAAAAGGGGTGGAGGGATTGAGGGATGTATTTTTGGGGCATGTTTACACCATGTGGCATCTGCCTCTCTCCCCAACACTGGAGGCTATGGACAGCTGATGGTTAATTATTACATAAGTAGCCCCTCTCCTTTTTTTTTCTTTTTTTTGGGGGGGGGTTTTAGATATTATATCATCACATTAAGGTCATGATTATTGCTAAATGTGTTAAATGGCTTTCCTTTGCCTTGTTTTGTGTGTGTTGATTGCCTTTGCCTGGTGACGGGGTTTTGTGCAAGTAGATAATGTAGTGTTTTTAGGGCTGAACTGAGGTGGAGGCCCACCAGTAAGGCTGCTCAACAGATGCTGTCTGATACAGGTTGTGCACAGGCCGGGGGGAAACTGGGAAAGAACAAAACATGAATTGATTGCTGTTGCTGCCTGCTCAAAAGGCGAGTGTGTACCATGTGTTCCAGTGTCTTTCCTACAGTGGTATGGATCGGTTTAGAGGTCAGGCCGGTGCACAGGTTTGCTACTGGCCAGTTCGTTCACCCCAGCCTTCATTTTTTTTTTTGTTTTGTTTTTTTCCTTTTCTGATCCCTGGTGTTTTGCAGTCTGAGGTGCTACAACTTGTCCCGCCACTAGAGGGCAGCCCTGTGCATGTTTCTCATATTTTTGTATTGAGACTAGAAAAATAATGCCAAAAGTCTGGCTGTGCATTGGGGGCATTGTGTGAGAGCGTGCGGAAGACGAGGTGCATTGATCATTAGATGTTACATTTGTTGTGGTGATAAGTTATGATGTTGTATACTTTGGCTGGGAGGGGTGGGGGTGTTTGTGTGTGTTTTTTGGGGTAGGGGAGGGGTGGTGGTGGTTGGGTTGTCGATGAAAATAATAGACAATCTAAAACCCCACATTACTCTCATTGACTTTCTTACCCCCTCTAAGCTGTGTGGTGCAATACCTCAATTTTTACCAATGCTAACTAAACGCTCTGTGTAAACTAGCTCCTCTCCAACCAAGAATGGTATTTTGTATAAATGTCCCTAAGTCCTTGGTTTTGAATCACAGGGTACTGATCCCCTGTGCTTTGAGACCGATGTATTAGACGAGAATGTTTTTCAAAGAGTCACCACAGCAGTATCTGCATCCCCAAGATATGGACAATCTGCCTTTACTCTGGTATAAAAACAAATTGAATTTTATTTATTAAATTGTAAATATGTAATGCAATTTAAGAAAATGGCTTGGTCTTTGTCTGTTCAATATAATGTTTCTAAGCTCCAATCTTTTGTATGTCTCAGAAATTGTTTTTATATGTATTTTTTACAATAAATATGTGTGAGAGATGTTTTGTGAATGTCTGTTTTGTGTCTTTAAGTGTCAATGATGTGTGTGTGCCGTTCAGTCAGACCTAGTTTTATTTTAATGAGCATTACACTTGGCATTAATGAATAGCACAAATGTTATTAACTACTTTATTTTATTTAGCAATTGACGAACACAACTATTGTCCATCTATATTTTAGGTGGTTAAGAGTAAAGTTAAGGATTTTTCCTCCCTCTAACTATTAAAACTGAAGTCTTTTAAATGAAAGTGTAAAAATATAGTTATAAACTTGAGCTTTAATTCTGTAAGGGCTTCATCTAATTACAATTCTCAGTACTGATTAATCTCTCTTATTTTCTCAAATTGTTTTATCTGTAATAAGTCACAAAATTGTGAAAATCAATTCCCATTATAATTTCACAGAACCCAAGGTGGCGTCTCCAAGAGTCCAGGAGATATTCAGTTTCCAGTGATTTATCATGAGCAAGGACATCTCCAGTGAGAAGCTGAATTTAGGGAAAATTAGGGAATTTGTGCCTGAAACAATCAATTTAAAAAATTAGTTTTTAGTCAATTGATTACTTGACTAATAATTTCAGCTAAGCTATTATACATTTACCAAAGTGACAGGTCTTGATTTTATTTGATTTATTCTCAGTTGAATGCACTTTAATGTTGAAATATCAGTAAATCATAGTTCCATTCAAACACATCTGAAAAACGTGGTTGTTCAGTGCTCAGAACAACATTTTTAGATACATAAAAAGTATGTATGTGGTAGATGAATAATATTAATAAATAAACACATTACCACAAGGCCCATAAATAGTTGCATGAGTGCTTTTGAGGTATCACATGATCTTCATCAGCCTTGTTCCCTGCTGTTAAAAATGTCTCTCAGCCTGTAAGTGAACTCACCACCCGCTGATAATGATAATAACTTAATCTATATTGCACTATTCAAAAACAATCTACAACATACTTTACAAATACAGTGCTTATTTTGTGTTATTTTACATTTAAATTCCATGACAACTGCAAAGATAGTGTGATACCACTGAAAGCTCCGGTAGAGCTACTGAAAGGACCATGTGGTGCGTTTGTTTTGTTTTGTCAACTGCTGTTTCCATGGTCAAGAATGGATTTTTAATCTGACATATAATTCCTCCCTTTATGAAGCTTATAATGTTGAGTTTTTGTATGATCCCTTCGCAGGCTGCACTCCATTTATATCAATGAGGGTAAACACAGTAACACTTTCAACAAAAACTGCACATATTAACCTTCATGAGGGGAGGGTGTAGTGCAGGGCTCTTGTACTGATCTGACCAGTACAAGAGTACAAGCCTTATTCTTAAATAAGAAACAACACACATCATGTTAGCCTTAGTACGGTAATCGGACTGAACTGCCATTTAGTTTTTGTCTGAATTGATTAAACAAATCTGTGATTCAACAAACCAACTATTGCTCAGATTCAGCTGTACGCTCTTGTCGCTCTTTCTTTTTTTTTTTTTTGTTGTAGCTACAGTGCAAGCTTGAGGATTAATGTTTGTCACGTACAGGAATCATGCAGTCTTGATTCACAGTGTAATGTTAATGTGAATATGTCATTGTGGATCTTGGGGGCCAGAGTGTAGCAGCTCTTTATCATTTCATTGCTGAGTATTTAATTTTCTTTGATTTGACTGTATCTTCATTAGTGAGGAAACTACAGAGCTCCTCAGGTTTGTATACTGCAGGTGCGCACGTGAAGGACCAGCATGCACCTGAAGGGTCTTTGACAGATCAACAGAGGCAGCTGAAGACTTCATTCTGTGTGTTTGTTTCCTTTACAATTGGTCAATAAATCACTGTGGACTTTGCCTGTGCATAATGTGTCTGTGACTGTATTTACAACATGAATTTATATGTGCACATTTTCCATCTAAATAATTAATGTTATAGATCATCTACTTACCTTTAGCTGAACGAACATGTGTGCAGAGGACGGATAACACTCACGCTGGAGGAGACATGTCTCATATCTGTCAGGTTTGTTCAGGGAGAGTCTTGGCTGGTAACACGAATCATTTCAGCAAAGCAAAAACTGTTTCCCATGTATTCTCCGTTAGTGAAGACTGACCTCAGACTGTAGTGTCATCCCTGTGGTCTAGTGGTAAGATACTGACCACAGAACAGCTGGGAGTCTCTGTCGCATCCTCCTCACTTTCTCCTCACGTTTTCTGTCTCTCTTTACTGACATCTGTCAAATTTGGGAACATTCTCAAAAACATTATTTTTTAGTCTAAATGATTTAATTTGCACTTTTATCAGATCTACAACAATTCGAGCACGAGAAAGCAAAGCATGTAATAACTTTACATAACATCAACACCCTGGACTGAAGGTCAGACTTCACACTTCTGGTGTAAAAATGAACTAAATTTGCTGCTTGGTGCTTGGCCCACACTCGGTTGAGAAAAGTGAGATCATACACTACATTGTGCTTCATTATATCTGTTCTGCACAAAAATAAAAAAACATCTCTTTCTGTGCAGCATATATGTTACAGAATAGTCATACACACATTTTACATGAGAATCCAAAAATGAAAATCCAAATATACAGAAACAATCAAACAATGCTTAACATTTAACCCCACACTAAGATGAATGATACCTAAACTTACTTTTTTAACTTTGCACCTGCAGACAGGCGGCTGCATCCTCATATCCAAAAGACAAATAGCACAATCTGCTACAAAATACAATCATTAATACATATGAAATAAGAACAAAAACATATATATATATTTTTTTTTTTCCTGAATCAGGAAAGAAGAAAAATTCCAGGTGGAGGGTGGAGTTGCTGGTGGAGTGTGGAGCAGAAGGAGTGCAGGAGTCTCAGTGTGTCTATAGAGACTGTGTAGAAGGACAGAGCAGCAGCAGAGCGGTACAATACACTGATGAGCACACAGATGATGGTGGCCTTGACATCGTGTCTGCCAGCGGAGCTGACAGTCATCTCCACTTCGTCTGGTTCCTCTGTCAGTCACTGCTGGATGAAGCTCTCCTCTCCACCCTACCTCCAAGTAACACGACCCAGTCAGAGCCTCTCTCCACACGAGCTGCTGCTGCTGCTGCTGCTGCTGCTGCTGCTTCAACCCCTCTGGATCATCACGACACACACACACACTCAAACACGTGTCCTCTTCACTCTCACCTTTATTATCTTCATCGGCCAGTATAGGGAGCAGGTGCAGCTCACATCACATCAGGTGCAGCTCTGCTGAGAGGCATGAATCCTCCTCATAGAGAGCAGCGATCAGAGCTGAACTGGCTTGTGATCCTTTTCTTCGCACCATGTCGATCACCACTCGAGCTTTGTCTGGCCGGTTCAGTGTTGCAGCAGACTCCATTTCATCATCCGTTATCACCCCGCGCTCCAGGAGTTTATCCAGAAGCTTATGTAGAACAGGTTCAGACACTCTGTTGATAAACTGTGTCCGAACAGTCATCAGCATCTCTTCTGCTGGGACATTCTGAGTCCATACCGGGACACCCCTGTCCGCTGGGATGGCTGGACTCCCTGCTAGACCCGGACCTGGAAGATGAACAAGAAAAAGTAGTTGTGTTCAAGAACCATATGGCTATAGTATAAGTAAATTAAAACTAAAATTACCGCCTTGCGACATATGAAATATTAACCATTTGTGTGAAATTTGGTCATAATTTCTGTGTGAAGTCTTGAGTAAAAGCTAAAAAGCTAAAACCTTTGACCACCAAAGTCTTATCAGTTTGTCCTTGAGTACAGGTGGACATATGTGCAAAATTTGAAGGGATTCCTTTGAAGAGAAGATACTAGGTTCACAAGGCCAACGTCATGTTTTGTGAGGTCAACGTGACCTTGACCTTTGACCTTCTGTCAAGGCGTTTCTGCGATATCGTGTCCACAAGAATGGGACAGACGGGCGGCTCTGGCTTTCTTGAGGTAACCAGTCACCTCAGTGATGTACTTGTGTAGATGGGAGACGTGCTCACGGCTTTGACACACACTCCTGAGCTGCACACAGCTGTTGCGTTCACTGTTGCCGGTTGACATGAAGACCAACGTCAACCTGCTGACATCCAAGTTTGATGTTGGAAGCAATGGATTAACACTGACTATTGATTAAATATTGAATTTAAAATGTCTATCTTTTCTATTCTACTATCAGGTGGAGGGATGTTGCAGGTGGATGAAGACTTTACCCGTCAGGTCAACTTCACGCTCCCAGACATGTGCGTTTGTTTGGTCTCGGACCGTTATAGTCGCCTCTTCTGTGTTTGCAGGCAGGCGGATCTCAAACATGGGGTGGTAATTTGGTCCAAAATCCAGATCGAGATCTTCTGTCTGAAAACCAGTAGCACTGGTTTCAGTATCTTGATAGCATCCAAAGTAAACTTAAGGTAACCAACAGCAGTTTTTACGAATTGTGTCAGCACGTTAAAAAAAACATTTTATTTGAACTACTCACCTCAGGCTGTATTTTAAAGGCCTTCAGACAGTGAACAGAGTAACTTTGATCTTTGGTGAGTTTGCATTTGGGAGGTGCCTGGATGTACTTAGAATTTCGCTGTCTTGCGCTCACCTTCAGAGACATGAGAACATGTAAATTAGAGTTTTATATCATCACAGATTTTCTCTTTCACATGTAGTTTGGACTGAAAGTGAAGCTGCAAAATTTCTTAAATCTTTACCTCTTCCAGAGGGATGTTGTTTGGCAGGAGAAACACGTTGAGGTTTTGCTTCTGTGTTTTTGGGTTTGGTGGTCGGAGGAACAGCAAAACCTGGCCGCTAACTGTTTTCATGTTGTTCCATAACCTCTGTAAAACCTCCAAAGCCCAGGCTAGGCCAAAGGAAGAGAGATGAGGGACTTTGACAATCACATGGGTGTCTGTGATCTCCAGCGGTTCGAGGATGCTCATTCCATCATCAGAGATGTGGACGACAGACAGCAGGCCTTCAGAGAGCAGAGCTGTGAAAACACAGAGGGATTCAACATCTGTTTTACCCACTACAGCCTCATTACAATGATAGTAATGATAAACCTCTGATTGCTTGAGGTTTTAATGAGCATGGTGACAGTTACCGGACATACGCCACAGTGAGGGTGTTGGGACGGATGTTTGTTGAGATTGTGGCTGTAATAAACTTTATAGAGTTTCATCATTGCTCTGACAAAGCACAAGGATTTTCTCACCATCCTTTGTTTCACAGTGTGGGAGGTGGAGCTGACACACAGCATCCTCAGAACACTTGATACTGAACAGCGGCCCTGCAGCCGCCTTGCCAGCTGATTGGAGGAGGCTCTCGTCCCATTGGACGGTCCTGTAGAGCAACTCCGCCTCCTGAGCCATAACAAACACCAGTCCAGTAGAAGTACACTGGAACCCACCTGGACCAGGACACCTGAACCTGTAGGACACAGAAGGGCAGACTCCACTTAATGAGCCCTGAGCAACCAGAGGAAAAAACTAATGAACGTGAAGGTAATGCACCAAAAAAGCTGTTTGCATATCCATATTCAAAGCTGTTCAGTGATGATCAGAGAAGACAGGCTGAAGACCATGAAAAGCACGGTGAAAACTGGAAACACAGCAGCAGCAGCAGCAGCAGCAGCACCTAAACCAACAGGTGCCCAATCTGATTAAAGCTTCCAAATGTGCAACATGGGTTTTGGACAGCTAGCACCAGGATGCAAGGAAAACACACAGGTGAGGGAATCATAGGTGAAATAAGAAGGAGGGATTTAAAGCACATACAAATACACAAACACAATATCACCATATGACCAAAACTGCAGCAAACACATCAGTAAATTGCTGTGGCTCAGAAGAGGAAAGCTGCCGGGGAAGCAGGTATTTTGCCTAAAACAGTCTTAAGCGATTTTATCATATGATTACCTGTATGAGACTTGTGCAGATTCAGTTTGCAGTTCAGGCGTGAAGTCTGTTGGAGGCTGGGATTCAAAAAGAAACGACATCAGATGTTTTATTAGAACTCATGTTCAGTTGAAGCAAACAAATATTCTTACGCAGTCCATCCTTAACTGAAGCACAACGTACACGTCAGAGAGAAACTGTGTGAGGGTAGTTGGTGCTACATAGCATAAAGGGGAATAATAATAATAGTAATAGTTAGAAATGTGTTTGTTGAGGTCAAGAACATGTCACAAACTGGCTCAGCAGTAAGAAGAGATCCACAAATCCAAAAACAAAAAAAAAGAAGTTACAAACTGTTTTGAACCAAATTCTCATTTTGTGTTTCCCTGGAAAGAGTTTCCTTGCTTTCTTTTAAAGTTATTTTTAGGGCATTTTTGCCTATATTCTGATAGCAATAGTGAGAGAGAGTGAGAGAAAGAGGGGATGACATGGAGCAAAGGGGCCACGGGTCAGATTCGAACCCAGGGCCGCTGCGCTTAGGACTAAGCCTTCATGGTACGTGCTCTTCCAGGGAGTAGCACAAAGAGGTATTTTCATACTAACACGGTAACTTTGAGACACCATTGCAGTAAACAACCTCATTAAGGTGACTGATCAGGCATCGTGACCTCGAACAACAACCGATCTCACAGAAAGTTGTCCAGATTCTAAAAAGTACTTGAAATGAGAAATTAAATTGGGATAAATCTGTACAGTGTCTTAAGGAAATTAAATGTTCTTTAAAATCATACAGAAACTCCTCTCTAACACAATGCAAAAATCTACATAATTTTATTTTTCTGATCCAAAGAAGCACTTCATGCATTTCTGTTTCTCCTCCTGAACAAAGGGGTGAATAAGGACTCAGCTACAGGAGATATTTGTTGAATTCTTGGAATATTTGTTTTTCCATTGCCAGCGGTGAGTTGAGCCCTTACATTTGTCTGGAATATGAGGATATACATGATTTTTCTCTCACCCTCATCAGCTTTGTGTCATCCTCAGACACATACAGCTTTGTGTCTGCTGTGTTAGGGTCCAGGTTGACATCATAGTCATGTGATTGGAGGAGAAGACAAAGAGAAGACGTCAAAAATCAGACAGAGAATGTGAGAAGAGTCCCCACAGCAGCAGCTCAAAGTCTCCTGTCATCACTTTCTTTTCTACTGGCTGTGCATCAACCTTGAGCGGACATGTCCAGTACGTCTGCTACTGAGTATGGATATGCTAGCTGCCTTTAATCAGTGACACTCACCAGCTGCAGCCGCATGTTGTTTTTGTGCGTATGCTCTGATACACAGCGGCTGCACTTGTAGAAAGTCAAATCTGGAGAGAATGCTAATGAGCTTTTCCTTCATGTCAGCAGTTCATTTGTTTTAGGAATCAGTGACTTGTTCTGGTGTCAGACACAAGGATGCAATCAGGCCTAATTAATGCTTGTGGATCACGGACCTGCGGCGACACTTTAGCTTAAAGTCAGTTTTTTTCTGAAAACAACACATACCTTCCCCTTGAACACACAGGCTGTCATTCAGCACGATCGTCTTGATCAGAATGATCTGTCAACAGTTTTTCTTACCTTTATTTGACGATGATGAATTCTGTGAGCACAAATCTTCCTCTTCAGCAGCAGGCTGCACACTCACTGAAAATATTTAGAAAGCATGAAAATTGTTTGATGAAGACTCATGTTGCTGCCTGCTGGCAAGCACAACTTTCTCACACTTACATTGAACGCAGCTGCTGATCCTCCAGTCTCTGATATTAAATTTAGACAGAAATCCATAACAAATACTGGGTGTTACATTTTCTCAACTGCAGAGAGGAGAATAATCAGCATGAGTATCTTTACATTAGCAAAGCACAGGATATCTGTACAATTTTTGAAAAGAATATTTCTGATTGTGCAACTGCACAATCTTTCTTTGATGACCTCAAACTCAAATCAGTTGATGCTGACTGTGCTCACTGCAAGGTGAGCACAGATGTTCTCCAGAGTTCAGACCAAAATGTCATTTATGAAAGGAGCACACGCTCATTTAACAGTCAGATTTCATTGAAGACACATTGACGAATACGAGTACATTGTTTCGGTACTCACATGTTTTGTCTGTGGAAGCTTTAAACACCCTGTTGTTGACCCTGTAGGGACAAACACAACCACAACAGTTACAAAGTCAGTGGAAAATAATCAGATTTTGTTTGAGTTAGCTTTATTAAACCTAACAGTGATCAGTCCAGATCTGTCTCACCCATCTGAATATTAACTGATCCGATATCAATAAGCCTGATTAACAGGTTAGTCAGTGAACTTTGGGATCAACCTAAGCGTTACAGTCTCACTTTAAATCATTGCATCGTGCTTAAAAATTAGCTTTAAAGGATCAGATGAAAATGTATAAGCAACCTGTCTCTCAACCAATCAGATCTGAAGGCAACACTACAAGGAGTCATCAAACCTGCTACTATCTATCTATTTTTCTATACTTTATTTTTTCAGAATTATTTTCACATAAGGAGCATTACTGCTTCCAAATTTACAATTCATGGTTAAGAAAATGTATAATAACAGTTTTAAATGACTGAAAACAAAACAGCTAAAGAGAAAAAAAAATACAGAAAAAAGGAAAATCCATTAAATTAAAAAAGGAAGAATATTTGAAATAAGTTGGATACAGTTTACATTTATATTCATAAATATTCATATCATAAATATATACTGAATGGTGACAATGGGTTTCCAGAGAGCTGATTGGCTGTTCATAAAGTTTGACGCTCTGAATTGATCGCGTGCTTCAGAGCAGGTTAGCCATGCACTCCTCTCACTGCTTCACTGAGGAAAGCAGCCACTGAGTGGGTTCGAGACTTAAAGGAAACATGGGCTGACTCCAACCCTCCACTGACCTCAGAGTCTCCAGTCTACAGTGTGGACTCTCAACAAGATCACACAGCTCGTACAGCTCTGAATCCTGCAGGTTGTTTCCACTCAGCTCCAGTTCTCTCAGATGGGAGGGGTTGGACTTCAGAGCAGAGACGAGAGAAGCACAGCTGATCGCTGACAAATTGCAGTCACTCAATCTGAATAAAGTATAAAACATGTAGATAAAAATGATTTATTATCCAATCAGATATGTCGTTGTTCTTGCGTCGTTGCTCTGAGTTGTTCTTTAAAATGAGTAGCCTGTCAGCCTGCTACAGAATCCGCCCAAATGTGACCACAACATTCATACATATTAACAACAACAACAACAATAATAATAGTTATAGTAAAAATAATTGCAGTTATTGGAATGAAACTTAGAAAACCAACAGTGTGGTCCTTTAAGCATTTCCTCCTTAACACATTTAACAGGTACATTCAAACCCAAGAAAAAAAATCATTTTTATACTCTCTCTCTGTCTCTCTCTCCCACACACACACACACACACACACACACACACACACACACACACACACGCACACGCACACGCACACGCACACGCACACGCACACGCACACGCACACAATTTTGGTAAACACACATTAGTCCTAACAGTTCACTGAAAATCAATGAGAAAAGAAATGTTTTCTTTAGCATGTGAATTTGACTTTCTTTGTCCAAATATTGACTCTGAGGATCTTCTGTAAATTGTTGTGATAAAAATGTATATATTTTTTATAACCAACACTGGACATTTTCTACAAATTATTATTTTACAAATAATTAGTCCCCTGGCTGTCAGAAATTATGTTTGGGAGTGTGTGAGTTCTGAAGGTTTAATTTAAGTGAACAGAAATCATTCATGAAATTAACTGAAACTGAGGGAATGATTCTTAGACTAATAAAAGACAACAGTCAGTCAGTGACCTGACCTCAGAGTCTCCAGTCTACAGTCTGGATTCTTCAGACAACCACAAAGCTCCTTCACTCCTGAATCCTGCAGGTTGTTTCTACTCAGCTCCAGTTCTCTCAGATGGGAGGGGTTGGACTTCAGAGCAGAGACGAGAGAAGCACAGCTGATCGCTGACAAAAAGCAACACCTCAATCTGTATAAAGAATAACACATGTAGATAAAAATCATTTACAATTCAATCAGACTTGTCTTAATCAATGAATTGTTCTCTAGTAGAGAGTAGAGTGATTTTGTCATTCTGTTATTGTGGATCATCATAATGTCATCCTACTTACAGACACCATCCAAATGTGACCACAACATTCATACACCTATTCATGTCAACACAGATTCATAACCAGTCCAATAAACCATAAAAACTGAATTTCATCCCAGATTGGCTGGATGGACATTAGAAGGAAAAAAAAGAAAGAGATGAACATTTGGCTTTTATATTCCTGTGTGTGTTTGTCCTATATCTTTTCTTTATGCTTTTTTCATGGCCACTCACAACTCAGACAAAGCGGATTTTTCAGGTTTTATATGTGCAGTATTATTCCTATTCAACGACCCCAGCAGAGTTATAGATTTTCCAGCAGGGAGCAGTGTTAGCGTGTGTGTGTGTGTGTGTGTGTGTGTGTGTCATTACTAAAGATAAAATATTGAAATGAACAGAAACAAACTATTTCTGCTTCAGGCAGCAAACTTTACAAATTTAAAACAAATATTATATCATCTACACAGATTCGAAAAATGAAATAAACTAAATAAATAAATACATTTTTTTTGAAAAACTAGCAGTTGATATTTTCTGCAATTGATCTAAGAAACATTCTTTTACAACAGCGGGCTACATTCAGTACAATATGAAAAAGACAATGTGGACAGAACAAACTTGCAACTTTATGAATATAAGTTTTGTACGTACTGTATGTAAATTGGGTTAAATGGAAAATTAAACATACGAGCTCTAGTCTAGTAACTGTCAGTTAATGCCCTGACCTCAGAGTCTTCAGTCTACAGTCTGGACTCCCCAGAAAACCACACAGCTCCTTCACTCCTGAATCCTGCAGGTCCAAGTTTCCTCTCAGCTCCAGTTCTCTCAGCTGGGAGGGGTTGGACTTCAGAGCTGAGATCAGAGAAGAATAGCTGATCTCTGACATATTGCAGCCACTCAATCTGAACAAATAATAAACCATTCATATTAATAAAATCATTCAAAATCCAGTCAGATATTTCTTAATCAATTAATGTTCCTGTAAAATTAGGAAAGTGATGTCTCCAGATGTGTCACCCTGATATGACGTGCCAAAATAAAGCTACACCTGAACATAAAGGACGTGTTGGGTCCTCACCTTGCCATTCAACTACGATTTTGGGGAGATGCAAGCACATCATAGGTTGCTCCTAGCATGAATCTAATCCTACCTGCTTCCATGTCGCAAAACCTTCCTCCAGCTAAGTTTTTGTCTTTTCTTTTTTGTTGCAATCTGAAGGTCTGTGGCTTCAAATTATCCAGCAATGCTGACATGAAAACAGAACAACAGTTACTGTTTTCAACAATTACTTGGAAACAAATTAGAAATCAAATTTGATGGTGTCATGCATAATCATCACTTATGTGACTGTAGGTGTAATATTTTTTTGCTGAAGAGAGATGCAGCTTTGGTCATGTTAAAATGTTCAGCATTACCATGTGCCACCAGTACCAAATGAAATTGGAGTTGAATTATATGAAGATTTAAGAAAAAACTATGTACATTCTCTACTGCTGTAAATCACACACAGGGTATTAACCAATGAAAAACTGAAACTGAAAAGATTTGAAATAAATATATACAAAAAAAAAAAAAAATCTCCAGTCAGCAAACTGACCTCAGAATCTCCAGTCTACAGTTTGGACTCTCCAATCCAGCAGACAGCTGTTTAATTCCCGAATCCCACAGGCTGTTTCTCCTCAGGTCCAGCTCTCTCAGAAGGGAGGGGCTGGACTTCAGAGCTGAGGCCACGATTTCACAGTGAGTCTCTGAAAGTCCACAATCAGCGAGTCTGTGAGTGGAGAATATATAAAATTGGTTACAATAAAATCAGACATATTGGAATAAAAATAATATCAAAACAGGTCATAATTTGATCAACGTCTGCTCTTCACATTTGTGGTTAAGCTAATCGTATCTTATTGTGCTTGACATGAAACTATAATTGTCGTCACTCTCTCACACCTGCATACCTTTAATGTGAATCTTGGTTTTACTTCAATCTTGCAGAAGACGGGAGGGGAAATGAAGTTACATTTAAGCTTCCATAATGTAATCTGATATTATTTTTTAATTGACTCCAAAAAATTCATTATTTCTTATGTCTTACACTAAAAATATAATCTCTCCTTGATAGCTCTTTGCTGCATTGTTTAATTAATGTCATCAGACACTGACCTTTGGTGTGTGTGAGAAGACTCTGCTCTTATACATTCAGACCTCTGTTCTTGGCTAACACTGTGCATTACCTGATACTACTGTCCTCTACATGAACAAGAGAGAAATGTCTTATTTAAGAGCATATGGAAAGACTTCAGAGCAAGACCATGAAACTGAAGGAAATAACATACCTCCACTCTTCAAAATTAAAAGTTTAATAAACAATTAACAATACATTTGGAGGTTTGACATCTACACTCTTGGTTTGGAATGACCAGTAGTTTATGGTGGCTAATATTAATGTTTTTTAACTGTATTGACATAATATTGTATAAATGAAATTACTGAGCCAGTTCACTAAATATGACCTTTCTGTGAAACTGTTACACTATGTTTTAGCATTACCATTATCCCATAAGTGTCACCTTTACTTTGAGTGGACCATGTTTTGTTTCATTTGTTTTAAAAGGGGTTGAGACATCCCCTAACGTCCTCCATGCTCATTGTGACTTCAGTAACCTTTGGAAATTGACACAGATCTTATACAAACTTTACAAAACACCTTGTAGAAACTACTTAGTCTAACTTCACCGCATTCACTGGTCACTGTAAAATACTACTGTGTTATAAAATTCTCCTTATCACAACCTCCTAAGTCCGTAATAAAGTATTCCACAGATTTATCATTACACTCTTCAAATTTATGCAGAGGAACCAGAGATATCATCTTTTTTTTTTTATTTCACAAATTCTTCTTCCTTGGCACCAGCAGCCTGCAACCTACAGCAGAGATGCAGGGGGAGTACGGAGGTCAGGTAAATTCACTTCTTTGTAACTCCACACTGCCAGATTGTTTTTAATTTTCAAACTTCAGACCCGTATTCAGACCCAACTGACACTGACTCAAGTGACATGACTGATGTGGATGAAGATCAGGTCACTCTTTAATCTAATACTCCGTTTTCTGTTGTTGAGAGAGATGTGTTAATAATCTTTTTCTGCTGAAGAGAGATGCAGCTTTGGTCATGTTAAAATGTTCAGCATTACCGATGTGCCACCAGTACCAAATGAAATTGGAGTTGAATTATATGAAGATTTAAGAAAAAACTATGTACATTCTCTACTGCTGTAAATCCACACAGGGTTATTAACCAATGAAAAACTGAAACTGAAAAGATTTGAAATAAATATATACAAAAAAAAAAAAAAAAATCTCCAGTCAGCAAACTGACCTCAGAATCTCCAGTCTACAGTTTGGACTCTCTCAATCCAGCAGACAGCTGTTTAATTCCCGAATCCCACAGGCTGTTTCTCCTCAGGTCCAGCTCTCTCAGAAGGGAGGGGCTGGACTTCAGAGCTGAGGCCACGATTTCACAGTGAGTCTCTGAAAGTCCACAATCAGCGAGTCTGTGAGTGGAGAATATATTAAATTGTTACAATAAAATCAGAAATATTGGAATAAAAATAATATCAAAACAGGTCATAATTTGATCAACGTCTGCCTCTTCACATTTGTGGTTCAGCTAATCGTTTCTTATTGTGCTTGACATGAAACTATAATTGTCTCACTCTCTCACACCTGCATACCTTTAATGTGAATCTTGGTTTTACTTCAATCTTGCAGAAGACGGGAGGGGAAATGAAGTTACATTTAAGCTTCCATAATGTAATCTGATATTATTTTTAAATTGACTCCAAAAAATTCATTATTTCTTATGTCTTACACTAAAAATATAATCTCCTCCTTGATAGCTCTTTGCTGCATTGTTTAATTAATGTCATCAGACACTGACCTTTGGTGTGTGTGAGATACTCTGCTCTTATACATTCAGACCTCTGTTCTTGGCTAACACTGTGCATTACCTGATTACTACTGTCCTTCTACATGAACAAGAGAGAAATGTCTTATTTAAGAGCATATGGAAAGACTTCAGAGCAAGACCATGAAACTGAAGGAAATAACATACCTCCACTCTTCAAAATTAAAAGTTTAATAAACAATTAACAATACATTTGGAGGTTTGACATCTACACTCTTGGTTTGGAATGACCAGTAGTTTATGGTGGCTAATATTAATGTTTTTTAACTGTATGACATAATATTGTATAAATTGAAATTACTGAGCCAGTTCACTAAATATGACCTTTCTGTGAAACTGTTACACTATGTTTTAGCATTACCATTATCCCATAAGTGTCACCTTTTACTTTGAGTGGACCATGTTTTGTTTCATTTGTTTTAAAAGGGGTTGAGACATCCCCTAACGTCCTCCATGCTCATTGTGACTTCAGTAACCTTGGAAATTGACACAGATCTTATACAAACTTTACAAAACACCTTGTAGAAACTACTTAGTCTAACTTCACCGCATTCACTGGTCACTGTAAAATACTACTGTGTTATAAAATTCTCCTTATCACAACCTCCTAAGTCCGTAATAAAATAT